TATTCAGTTTTTCTTTTCTTTTCCTGGTGCAAGCGTATGTTGCTATATCATAAATAGCCTAATGATAAAGAAATGGCGTTTTAGTGCAATGATTTACTACTTCATGTTTAGGCATTAGAACGAAAAAAAAATAGTGTTCTTGCATTTGTAAAAAAAAAGTTTAAATGCATTTCTAAATCTTGATAACAAATTTCGGAAAGCCGTTATTTGTATAAAAAAATATGTTATAAATATGTTTGAATAAATCAGCTCTGATGGCTCTGATCGTATTCCATCTACGTGTAATGGGTACCTGACTCTAGTCCCCCCAGCTGTAATGGGTACCTGACTCTGGTCCACCCAGCTCTAATGGGTACCTGACTCACTGAGTCCATCCTGCTCTGATGGGTACCTGACTCTAGTCCATCCAGCTCTGGTGGGTACCTGACTCTGGTCCACCCAGCTCTGATGGGTACCTGACTCTAGTTCATCCAGCTCTAATGGGTACCTGACTCACTGAGTCCATCCTGCTCTGATGGGTACCTGAATGGGGAAAGAAGAGTTACTGTTGTACAACTACTCGTCCTCCTCTGTGAGAACTTTGCTTATCATGGTCGTCGCCCTGATAGTGTTGGATCACACACGTGAGTACCTTACGGAAAGATATTTTAGATGTGTGTGTCCTATGATTTATTCAGTCTTAATTAATTAATTTGTATTTTAACTTAAATAAGATAAATGTCAACGTGACCACCATTATTTCTATTCAGTTTTTCTTTTCTTTTCCTGGTGTAAGCGTATGTTGCTATATCATAAATAGCCTAATGATAAAGAAATGGCGTTTAGTGCAATGATTTACTACTTCATGTTTAGGCATTAGATCTGAAAAAAAAAGTGTTCTTGCATTTGTAAAAATAAGTTTAATTGCATTTCTAAATCTTAATAACAAATTTCGGAAAGCCGTTATTTGTATAAAAAATATGTTATAAATATGTTTAAATAAATCAGCTCTGATGGCTCTGATCGTATTCCATCTACGTGTAATGGGTACCTGACTCTAGTCCCCCCAGATCTGATGGGTACCTGACTCTGGTCCACCCAGCTCTGGTGGGTACCTGACTCTAGTCCACCCAGCTGTGGTGGGTACCTGACTCTGGTCCACCCAACTCTGATGGGTACCTGACTCTAGTCCATCCAGCTCTGGTGGGTACCTGACTCTAGTCCCCCCCAGCTCGGGTGGGTAGGCCTACCTGACACTCCACCCAGCTCTGATGGGTACCTGACTCTAGTCCATCCAGATCTGATGGGTACCTGACTCTGGTCCATCCAGCTCTGGTGGGTACCTGACTCTAGTCCACCCAGCTCTGGTGGGTACCTGACACTAGTCCACCCAACTCTGATGGGTACCTGACACTCCACCCAGCTCTGATGGGTACCTGACTCTAGTCCCCCCAGATCTAATGGGTACCTGAGTCCATCCAGCTCTGATGGATACCTGACTCTGGTCCACCCAGATCTGGTGGGTACCTGACTCTAGTCCACCCAGCTCTGATGGGTACCTGACTCTAGTTCTGCCAGCTCTGAAGGGTACCTGACTAAACCCTATCTATCCCATTGCTTAAATAAACCCTGTCTGCGTTTTTAACTAAATCCGACTTTCTCCGTAGGCAATGAATTCATTTTTTCAGTGACCGAATTATATGTGCTTCTTTTGACCAGACAAAATCTGACCGATTAACTAGACTGTATTTGCCCTGTTCAATAAAGCTGATCAAACAGACACTTTCCTCCACGTTAACTATCCCTTCGTTAAATTGTAAAACCTCTGATTTATATTCAAATTTGTTTTTATTTACTTAGATGGGAGCATATACTCGCACAGAAAATGCAAGGTCGGTTTTACATGGCTATTTTCTGATTGTTTAGTTATAGGCCTGTATATCAAAAACGATCGTTACAATTTACTTCATCAATTAAAAAATCAAAGTGTAATTTGTTTAACAAAACCTAATGTTTTATTGACGTAAAACAATTAAAATGTTATTAAATATTCTCAAGGTAAGAAGCAAAAAAAACAAACAAACACTTTCAATGGCTTGTAAAAGCTGTTTTTTTTCCTCTCAGTCCGGCCCTGTTTCAACCAATCAGACTTCTCTACCTCGGTTCAGCAGGGCGGTGTACATCTTTGATATAAACAACTACGTGGTTCTGATGACGGAAGTCACCGCATCAACGGATGAGATATGTGATGGCCGTATTCATATCATTCATCATGACATGCGCGTGCCGCTACGATTAAGAATCACCCCCGGTAAGTGTCCCCGTAATGTAGTAAGGCAACAACAAACAAGTGGAGTGGTAGATCATTTGAACTCAGCACATAACATTATGTTCAGTGTTAACAAATGGGGGGTAGATCATTTGAACTCAGCACATAACATTATGTTCAGTGTTAACAAGTGGAGGGTAGATCATTTGAACTCAGCACATAACATTATGTTCAGTGTTAACAAATGGAGGGGTAGATCATTTGAACTCAGCACATAACATTATGTTCAGTGTTAACAAGTGGAGGGTAGATCATTTGAACTCAGCACATAACATTATGTTCAGTGTTAACAAGTGGAGGGTAGATCATTTAGTTAACGTTTGAACTTAGTACATAACGATATGTTCAGTCTTGATATAAAACCATGAGATCTCTTTTGGAAGCCGCGCTAAACTCTCAGGTTAGCAAGTGTAAGCTCTATGTATAGTTTTCCTATAAATAGCATTAGTCTTATATTAGGTTTGATGAAATGGTAACTGCACCACCCTCTATATAATAGCAACATTTCTAGCTTGTTAGCACTGTTTTGTACGATTTTTTACTTTCAAATATCCCCAGCGACCAAAGAGGAACCCCCTGCTGAAATGTCGTTCGTTAGGGAATTTGAACCTCCAAAGCTCGGATACTTTTACGTAACGCCAAGTTCCAAATTTGATGAATCAACCTCTGTTAGCTTCAACGTATCTGTAAGTCAGATGTTTAATTATCGACACACATACACCTACACAATATTATTCAAGAACTTTTGTCTGTTTTACACAACTGTCCTAGTTAGCTGACAGCCTCGTTCTGTCTTGGAGACGATCAACTATGTTTGGATTCTTAAATCAGTGCCTATTTAGAGCAGTAAATTATCTATTTTCCTGAAGTAAACTCAATAAAACCAAATTTTGCTTCTCGCTGATATTTTCTAGGCAGCAGGAAATGGTCAGCAGATCTAGATCACCATCCCGTGGTAGCCGCTTACGACTTAAGCATGATGTTATTACTATTCCTCTAAATCTCTGATCCATTCTACAGTAGATAAAACGATTTTGTCATGTGGGCCTACGTCACTGTAGAACCAAACTTGTCTTTGAAGAAGAATGAAAAGCATCTCTTATTTGAACGATTTTTAGCTCGACTAATAAAATAGGTGGCACTCTGTAACGGTTTTTGGTTGAGTGAAAGTGGAAGCAGTGGTTTTTTTTTATTCTGTGACTGTCATCAGATGGTTGATATGTGACTGTCATCAGATGGTTGATAGATATGTGACTGTCATCAGATGGTTGATGTGTGACTGTAATCAGATGGTTGATAGATATGTGACTGTCATCAGATGGTTGATATGTGACTGTCATCAGATCCTTTAATTGTTACGTGATAGACGATTTGTGTTTTCGCCAGATCCAACTTACCTTACCAGTCTCACTATATATATAGTAATTAATCGAAGAAAGTAAAATGACATAACAACTGGACTAAACCAAGGGATGCAACTTTGTTTCTCTTAACGGCTCAGTTTTACTGTTGCCTCATCCTCAGCTGTGAAACCAAAAGTTGACATAGTGGCTTCCAACGACGGCCGTGGGAGGCCACCATGTCAGAAACAAAAAACTACCTTGGGAAAGTGGTCTTGTGTAAATACAGCTATACTGATCTATCGTTCCTGAATTTTCCATGACCCTAAATTGACCCATGGCAATGTGCGTTCGCTGCTACATATAATCTTTTTTTTGCCAAACCTTAAGTAAAAAAAATACTATAATTTTCTAAAAAAATAAACCTTTTTGTAATCAATAGGTCAGCGATGGGCATCAAACAAGTTCAGCCTTAGTCGTTTTTAAACGATCGGCAAATCAATTCTGTACACCTGAATATAATCAAATGGACAACGACACAATAGCAACCATTGTCTGTCGATATTCTGAGCTAGAGGCAAAAATTACTGACACAGAATTATTTGGATCCAACGTTATAGGTATGTTTTAAGATATGTTGCATTTACACATTAATGTATCTTCCAGTTTAAATTTTAATTATCTATATAGTATTATAAAGTAAGCTCGCTACTTTAAATGCACATTAGAATATTGTATTATAAACAACACTTAAAAAGAAAAACAAATTTCAGACTACCTTGTCGTTAGCACAGAAGGAAGAATAACGACCAAAAAAGAGTTCAAAAACTTCGACGCTGGGAAGTATCTATTTACAGTTCACGTATACTTTACTGTCCAGAGTGTAGGCTATTTCGAGTCAAACGTCACAGTTCAGTTGGAAAAGGCTTCAACAACTTCAGCTAGAACACAATCAGCAACAACACTTCTACCCACAATACAGACATCTACAACAGCACTACCCACAATACAGACATCTACAACAGCACTACCCACAATACAGACATCTACAACAGCACTACCCACAATACAGACATCTACAACAGCACTACCCACAATACAGACATCTACAACAGCACTACCCACAATACAGACATCTACAACAGCACTACCCACAATACAGACATCTACAACAGCACTACTCACAATACAGACATCTACAACAGCACTACCCACAATACAGACATCTACAACAGCACTACCCACAATACAGACATCTACAACAGCACTACCCACAATACAGACATCTACAACAGCACTACCCACAATACAGACATCTACAACAGCACTACCCACAATACAGACACCTACAGCAGCACTACCCTCAATTCTACCCACTATTACTTCAAACATTGCTCCGTCAGATCCCCCTACAACACTTGCCACGCCATCCACATATTTCACCGCAACGACAAATACAACAACCACAACAATCGTAATAGGTAAGTCAATTCGGCGACTATAGAGACAGGACAAATTATATTAGACAAAATATCCTGGACAAAATACTCCAATACAAATGTCCTTACGTACAAAAGATCTTGGAGACAAAATGTCGACTGTTTTTTTTTTGTTTTTTTTTGTGTTTTATCAGGACAGAATGATACCATGGACTAAATATACCTGTCCTGATATCATATGTGTCTTGACGGGGGGGAGGGGGTGCGGGGGGGTGGGGGTGCAGACCTCATCGGGAGACACCATTTAGGGCGTTGACACCAAGGCAAAATATAGCAAAATATAAAGAGATAAACAATCATCGTTGGGGTGACACCATGACGTAAACCTGGTAACAATAGAGTAAATACTATCATCACTTCCAGCCGTATTAATAACCTACTATAGATAAAAATCGTTGGTATTTTATGTACACAGTTTAAAGCTATCACAGGGAGGGGGGGGGGGGGGGTGACACCAACTAAACGTTGTAACTTTGCCTGAGGAAAAAGCTTTAATTGAGAATTGTAATAACTGATATTGTCAATGGACTACTGGGATGGGGCGGACGCTAAATTAAAAACAAATCTACAAAAGCAATGATTTTTTTCCGTTTGAATTAATAACTATTAGAATTAGGCACATCAATGCTTTTGTAGGTGATTAATATACGTTAACGCCATTCGACTAAAACGTGTAGGGGGGCGCCATCAAATACATAGACAAAGAGCTTCTAGCGGATACAAACGTTGTAAAAAAGTATATGGTCGCAAAGTTATTCATTGTCTTACACATAAATAAACCGGGAGTGTTCGACCCTAAAGTTTCTCAAATATTCTTATATAAAACAACGGGGGATAACAACTCGGAATATAGACATGACGTTTAATCAATTTTTTTAATTACTTAAACTTTTTAAAATAGAATAAAATATCGTAGAAAAAAGAATTGCACAAATAAATATTCAAACATGTAAACAAACATGAGTTGTAGTAGTATATAGATAGGTAGATAGATATACGAGAAAGTTTAGGGGACATCACTCCCGGTTTATTTAACCATGTGCTAAATATTAACATGCTAAGGAAAACATCTTTTGAGCGTTGCTTTGCGCATCCTAATGTATAGAAGACCATGTGCGCACTTCTCTCTCTCTCTCTCTCTCTCTCTCTCTCTCTCTCTCTCTCTCTCTCTCTCTCTCACTCACTCTCTCTGTCCACATGTCTCGAGCCTAAGATATCATTATGTTCCGCGATAAATGGAGAACTTCAAGATATGGACTTTTGTTAAGAACAATGTTGGATGGATGTTTTATAGGTTTCAACTAAATTTTATTTAAAGAAAGAAAATAAAAATAAAGCAATATTCTAATGTAGAAATAACTTTTTTAAAATTATGCAACCAGAAAAGTCTTTATGTGTGTGACAAGAAAGCAATAAACAATGACGTTACATGTCATATTTGTAAACCGAGGAAAGAACACAACACTAATAACGCCATCTTCCAATTTTAGAATATAAAGAAATGAACTATTGCACTGAATTCGATTTAGATCTAGATTCTATAAATCTACTTATCAAGACGTGCGCTATGAAATGTACACAATTTTCTCGGTCAAACTGATAAAAATTACTTTAAAAATTAACATAATGACCATTGAACAGCCAGGTTTTTAAAAGAATCCTTTAAGTCTCTCAGTGTTTGCATTTAATATGGTGCTGTGTTGACTAATAATGCATATAATTTTATTTTAAATTATTTTAATAGGTATTGGTAGCCTATGTTATTTTAAATGTTTCGGATTTTTAGCTATTTGGTTATTTATTTGCTTTGTGACTAATATAGTTCAACGTGTAGTGAAGCACATATCGTTTTGACCAATATAAATTTTGTAAATTAGTTTTACCAAATAAGTATAACAGTAAAGCCTATAACAGTAAGGCCTATAATTCACGTGAAACGGGTACCCATGACGAGTTTTATATAGTTGGAACAGTTTAGGTTTTGGGGAAGCGATTCATGCATATATTTATGTATTACTTATTTTTCAGGTAAAAAGTGGACATTTTTATTAGTCTTTTCCATCATTGCAATCTGTTTGGTTCTTGTGCTGGGTTGCTGGTAGGTTTCATGTATATTTTCTTTTTTTTTTTTTGTTTTTTTTTTTTTTACTAAATAAAACTTAATTTTAAAAATAGGCATTACTTTAAATTAAACCTATCCTAACATATGAAAGCCCATGTGCGCACTTCTCTCTCTCTCTCTCTCTCTCTCTCTCTCTGTCCGCAACATATTTTTCGAGACTTTGAGATCAGTATCTTCAGCAACATATGGAGAACTTAATGATACGCACTTTTGTTGAACCTAATATGTTGGATTATCTTAAATGTATAAACTCTATTTCATTTAAAGACGGAAAATTTAAAAATGGGAATATTCGTATGTAGAAACACAACTTTAATTATGCAACCGAACAAGTGTTTATGTTTGTGACAACATCGCTCTAGAGAACATATAAGTAGCACAAAGCTATCCCTGGCAAAATTACGCCACATAGAACACATCGAAAAATAACTTTAAAAAATTATGTTTATAAAACTTTTACCTACGGAAAGTACCAAACGCTAATGGCTTCATTAGTTTTAGGATTAAAATAGATTAGAAAATAAAATTTCGAAAATGATACGCTATACTAATGACGTCTCTTGAATAAGATTAGCTTACCACATCTGCCAATTTTAGAATATGAACAAATGAACTATTTCATTCAAATTTGATTTAGATCTATAAATCTTATTATCAAACCGGGCTCCCATGTTAGCACTATGAAACCCTCCTAATATATTTCGTCAGATTTTATTTGTTTTTATGCATTTCTATATCTTTCATCTGATCGCCATAAATCTTTGGAAAATTGTTGAGAATTCTCATGACGAGGTTTATGAGAAATAAGACATAAATTTCGTACCGGCCCGCGCCCCGGCAATAAGTAATTTGGCGCCCCGGGTTATCCCGTGAGCGCTATGGCGCCTACGTTAGTTTTAAACAGTGCGATAGACCATCACTAAGATGGGGCATTTAGTTTTTCACTAAATTGAATCATCCGTGTTCGCCGGCACCCGACAGGGTGCAATTTGGTGCTTCGGACAATCCCGGTAGCGCTATGGCGCATACGAATGTTTTAAAAATTGTGATAGAATATGGATAAGAAATAGTATTATAGTCGTTGACTAAAATGAAATGGTAGCGTCCAAACTTGTAGGATGCAATTTGCCCCGGCCTATCCTGGGACATTCTTTTAACCCCGCAGCAACGTGCGAAGACGGACACGCTAGTATTAAATAAAATCCAACAGGCCAAATATATTCTTTTCAATGGGAGTTTGTTATGTTGTTCAACGCTCACGTTTCATTAACTTAAATTGCAACAGAGAGAGACCGATAATACTGTTCAAAAGCACGCTAAAATTGAATACCTGCATCATGATTGTGCTGCTGTGGATCCTGGGCTACTTCAAGATACAAGGAAATGAGATCGCGGACCAACTGGCAAAAATTAGGGGAAAGAAAAAAAGAACCAGAAATCACGCTACACCCAGAAGAAATCAAAAGAATTATGACAATTACAAATGTGGTCTGACACATGCCCACACTACAAAAAAGACGATGGATATTACAAATTGACACGCAAATAACAACATACTCAGAAAAGGCCACAACAGACTAAGGCAGAACATGCAAAAAAAAACTAAAAGTTGGGTAAGGCGAAACTTGCCGATGTGGCCCCGGAGAATACAGAGCACGTCCTTCAGGACTGTTGTTTAAATAGTAAGGCGCGATCCAAAAAAAATGTCCCCTATACACACCACTCAAGAAAAAATTATATGGGGCACCCGTGGATCTGGAGGCCACAATACAGTTCATAGGCAGATAACTTAATGTAATTTAAAATGGATATGTGTTCAGTTGTTGGAACATTATATATTTTCGGTTTATGTATTTCCTTACATGATACAAAAAAATAGATTTAAGGATTGAACTTGTTTGTTTTCAATGTCGAAAATACACTCAAAGATTGTTTTCAGTTAATTTTTATAATGATGCTTATATTTTATTAGTAAATTGATCATTATATTTATAGGTTTACTATTTAATTGAGATATATGCAAATTTTGTTTACTTGCCTAGATTTCAGTTAAAGTAAGATAGGGTAGGGATTTTTAACTAATATAATTATAATATTGCAAACAATTTTAATATATTTACAGTTCCCTTTTCATCTTAACCGTATTGATGCCATTTTATTCCAATAATTGCATGCAAATAAGCTGCAAACTTAAACCTTATTATTGCTGTCTCTATCAAATCTAAATTCAAACTTTCTAAACCTATATCGTTGTGTTGTTGATTATGAATGCTATTGTTGTCATTGCACTAATGTAATAATAATTATCTTCAGCATTCGCCAAGTAAAGTGCCTACGCATTATTCGCGGACCTACATATCAATAAGGCATTGCTTTCAAAACTACCGAGAGAAACGATGAAATAATGGAAATCCAGCCCTAATTAAAGCTCAAGTTTACAGTACAAGCTGGATTGTTTTAGTATATAAACAAGACAAAAATGTAGAAAGCTTTGTTTAGACAAAAACATAACCAAGTAAAATTGCAATATTTAATTATACATAAAAATATTTTTAAAATTCGATTGCCATACACAGAAGTTATTATTAATTTAACCGTTTATTTATATTTTTTAATTAAAAATGGTCATAAATGAAGCTAAAACAATGTTACAACCAAAAATGCTCTAAGCGTTTGCAACATTACACAATATATTTGTTAGCTTTTTTTGTACCTGCTGAAAAGAGCCGCATTTGAAAATTTTACTGGAAATGAGTTTACACTTTTTTCTCCAACACTTTGAACATAATTACCTAATACGCTATTCTAAGGCATCAACGTGTGTTAACTGTAGCATGATAATAGGGCATAAACTACATAAAATTTCGGTTTAACAGTTTTAGATTTTTAAAAAATAGGAAACATTGCAGTTTTTATTTTTTTTATAAATGTTGAAAAAAAAACCATCACATCGTACATGCTTGAGAACAATGATAAAATTAGACTACATATTTCATCATTTATTTCCATATTTTCACATGCTCACTATTACTAATATACGAATGTGTACACAGATACATAATAAATCACCATGTACATAAAGACATAAAAACTATGTTTAGAGGTCATAAGATAGGCACATTTAATGCTATTTCAATGTATTCACTTCTGTTGTAATAAGTGTGCAAATTATGACACATATAAGTGCTTACATATAGTTTTATTTCAATTTTAAGCATCAGTTTTTATTCGAATATTTATGTAAATAATAATATTTAAAATACATAGCGCATTATATCAGCATTGTGTGAGCTTTTAGTTTCTGAAAGTAATTTTTTTTTTAACAAACCTGATTGTTTTGGTATGTTTTTATCTATTATAATTGTACAAAATATTGTTACAGTTTATTGCCAGACAGTTTATTGCCAATGCTAACGCGAGTATAAACAGAATTCTACTTTCAGTTTTCATTTTATATAAATAATTTGTTTTGCAAAAATACTCCATAAGCATTAAATTAGCGTATTAACAATAAAACAGAAATATTATTAAGGGTCTAAATGTAAAAATAAACGTTGATACGAATAAAAGTTTAGTTTAGTTAAGTATGCAGGTATAGATCTCAAAATGGAAAAAACATAGCTCAATAAAATTGTATACCTAAACAAATTCATATTTTAATATTTAGAATTCTTTTATTATTGCAATTAGGGGACGGAGTGGTCTAGCGGTAGAGAGCTGGACTGCTAACCTGTAAGTCTCGAGTTCGAATCCGGATTCAAGTTAGTAGACCGTCCCTGAGTCCGCCTACCTCTGATGGGTACCTAACTTACGTTACGGAAAGTAAAGGCGGCTGGGCATAGTGCTGACAACACTATCTCTTCAAATGCCGAGGTCACAGAATCAAGTGAACTATACTTGCCAGTCAGTTTTGAAAAAGGGAACTTTCCTTCTTTTTTTTAACATCCCCAGGAGTATTCTCAACAGCTTCCCAAAGTATCATAGAGATCGGATGAAAGGGGTAGCAAATGCATAAAAGACAAACAGATAGACACACACAGACACACATACATTGCTTTATATATATATATATATATATATATATATATATATATATATATATATATATATATATATATATATATATTAGATTAGTCCATTGTAAGTAACAAATATGCACAAAACTGTACTTTAATATTGTAATGATTTTAAATTTATTAAGAGTAATGTATTTAATGTATTTTAATGGCTTTTAAAATATAATTCTGTACATTGCGTAAGCACAATAAATGTATTTCAAATCAACATTTAAAAGAAAAATATTTAATTAATTCAATGTATGGTTCTTTATTTTTCTCGAAGATTTCGCTGTTCTAAAACTTGATTAAATCATACATGTGGCTAGACCAATTACAAACACGGCTCCAAATTTAACATAGATCGACTCTGTAAAATAAAGTATAAATATGCCGAAATAATAAAGAAGTAATAATTGTAATTATGTCTGCTTTGCTATGGTTAAATGTTTTACAAACGATAATTTTATATTTGAAATTCTCATCAGCATTAAGAATACTCTTTACGAGTTAACAATCTGTCTCAATTCTACTTTCTGCAAGCCTAAGTGAGGAATGGTATTCTGATGATATTTATAGTTTAAGGCTTCTATTTGGAAGCATCTTTTGAGTTAATATTTTTGTTTGTTATTAAAACTAACTCTAATATATAGTATGACTTAAATTACAAATGGTTAATTCAACAGATTTGAATCTAAATGCTATAGAAAACGCAAGTAAACAGCAAATACCTGCGTTAAAATGAGCGTTTCCATTCTTTGACATCTCCTTAGTGACCTTAGTCTGTACTCTTCTATTATTAGCAAGAGGATTCCAATTTACTATATAAATAAAAAGTTGTATATATATATATATATATATATATATATATATATATATATATATATATATATATATATATATAGATATATATATATATATTTATAAATATATATCTATAATATAAGCGGGCTGAGCGTGTGTCAGTCCTTCCTTCCTTCTGTCATCGCTATAGCTTTTAGAACCATAAAAGTAAACATTCGCACCACGAAGTGCTTTTCAGTGCACCGCAGTGTCTTATTATAAGTATTAGAGTAGGGTTTGTTTATATAGTGGCATAGAGCTATTTTATAATTTCCACTGTTTGTACAATTTTGCATAACGTAAAGAGAATATTAAATACACGCACATTGCTAAAACATATTAAAAGGATCAATGTCAAATATAGTTTTCGTTAATATTACTAGAAGAAGTGGATACATTTTAATAACATAATAATTGTAGGTTAGAAAAATCTAATTAAACTGTTTAGTAATTTTGCAAGGGAGGTATTTTAAAAATAAATTGAACTCACGCTAAAAATGTGAATGCAAAATCTGCAAGACGGAATAATTGTTGGAATAATATAATTAGCAAAATGTGAATGCAAATTATGCAGACGTATAAGAGTACATTATTGTTGGAATATTATAATTAGCATTGATTGATAAAAGGCTATCTTTTATTTATTTTATTCACTGAATGTACTGTTTACTAATTATAATTTTTAATCAACCATTCTCCATTACTATATTAAGTCATCACGTTCATTAGGTGCGCAATGGTTTTAGTCATGAAACTTTATTGTAAATTTTTAAAAGTACTGAAAAAAATGCATGAATTTATAAAGTGCAATATGGTCGGTAAAACACGGATATTCTAAATACTGCCTTTAAATTATTTGCGGAAAAGCTAGGGGTTTTATAACCGAGGCGTAGCAAGAGGGGGGGGGGGGGGGAGGGTGGAAATCGAAAGTTTGAGGGAGGTGGGAGGGTGTAAATCGAAATTTTCCGCCGGCGCTCGGAAAGGGCGCGATTTGGCGCTACGGGATAGACTGTGAGCAATATGCCTTTATGATTACATTTAAATTGAGTTTATGTTGAGTGTTGTGTTTGTTTTTTCGTTTTTGTTTTTTCTTTGCGTTCGTTTGTGTTGTATTTAGTTTTGTTCTGTTCCCAACTTGGTACATTTAAAAAAGATTTACCGTGTGTTGTGGTTGTGGTTGTGTTGTGGTTGTGTTGTGGTTGTGTTGTGGTTGTGTTGTGGTTGTTTTGTGGTTGTGTTTTGGTTGTTTTGTGGTTGTGTTGTGGTTGTGTTGTGGTCGTGTTGTGATTGTGTTGTGGTTGTAATGTGGTTGTGTTGTGGTTGTGGTTGTGTTTTTGTTTGTTTTGTTCTGTTCCAAAGCTGGTATATTTTAAACAGATTTACCGTGGCTGAGCACGGGATGCAGCTAGTATATATATAATCATATAATAATAAATATCGCCACATCCATCTGCAAAATCTTGGATCCATTAGGAACCGCTTTAGCGTGCTTCCCACTTTAGAAAAAGATGGTACGCTACTTTTCAAAGCCATGTCGTCGACGGTAGAAGGGGCTTTCATTTATATATTTATCTTCGAATTCTCGAATGCTTAATCTTTCTCATTTAAGTCAATGGCCTTTAACTGCATGGCCGCTTCTTTATCTTTTAGAGTGACGGCGTTTTGTCTTTCTCTATCCCTCTTCTCACACTTTTCTGTCCATATTGAACATAGCCTAACGACACTGCTACAACTAGCACAATAAGCTAGCACTTATTCTTATGATCAATAGAACCGGATTTGTAGAAAGCCACGACCAACCAAACGTCCTTGTGAGGTTTGAAAAGGGAGACTAGCGCAATATTCTGATTTCAACAGGAAAACATAATTTTATATAAAAGATTTTAGCTATGATTATGAGAAAAAACAATAGATGTTGATTATAATGAAGATCACAATGCGCTTTATGCATTTTTGCAATATTGAATACATCTTTCGATGATGTCTGAATGTTCTGTAACATATCTGATAAAAAAAGAAAATTGATCCATTCTACTAATGTCGATGTCTGCATGTGCTGTCATATCGGATAAACAAAGAAAATTGATGTCGAAAGTTGAATCCGCAATCACGGTGAAATACCTAGCTATTTTAATTTCACCTACTATTTTGGACTGATAGACTTTCTTTGGTCGTTTTAATTTCCCCTACTATTTTCTTTAAAGTTTGGACTGATAGACTTTATTTGGTCGTTTTGAATTTACCTGGACTTAAGTATGTTGTACCGAAAATGATTTGTTGTTTTAGCAAATTATCTTTGTTAGGTAGGAACTTATAACTTAATAACAGTTGCCTTCATTTAATGAAGCTTCTCCTAAACCTTGGGATTCAGGATGGCCCCCTAAAAGACAATGCATTTTTTCCTAAATAGAGAACTGCCTAGATAATACTATTAAGTGTTATCCTTTTATTTTTCTATTTCTTTCTTTTCTGCTGTTAAAATGCCACATATTGTGTTTCTGTCTTGAAACAATCGAAATTTCTTGAGAAAAAGTTCTGTCTCTGTGTGTTTTTTCAGAATTTCCGTTTTTCTTAATTTTTTTTGTGTGATCTTTTGCAAAATACCCTCAACCCAATTTTGGATCAACCCAAGTGTCTGACTTGTGTTTAAAGCCAACAGGCAAAACAAAAAAATTTATTTGCCTTTGGCGAATATACGAGCCAGTATCGTTTATTTCCCGACCACATTTTTTTTTTTGTACTGATTGGCACTAAAGTGGTGATCATTTTTTTGGAAAAATCTGTATAGGTATATTTGAGGCCTGGTTGACAAGGACCAAACTCAAGTAATTCATGTAGTAGATCCAGTATTACAGTTTTATCACAAAACAAATAAGGATCTGTAGGATATTTTGGATTCATATCAATTGTAGCATTAAGTTTGACTAGATTTCTTCTGTCAATATCGTCTTCGTGAGTCTCGACGACTTGATTCTGCATATCAGGTTATGTGGTCGCTTGTATATTTTGTAATTGAGCATCTTCAGACACTTCGACCTCTGGTTGTGTTGTTGTCGAAGTTAAATAGTGCAGCTTGAAAAATATGTATCCAGTTTATCACATTTGGATAATGTTTGTTGGCGATCTGAAATGTCTTTCTATTTCTTCCTCTCCCACCCTGAATATTTCTTCATTTCTTCTTTACTGGTTTCCTCTCCATGTAATAACCTCTTAACTAATGAATTCTCAGCGCCGCTGTTGTCTTGGTCGCAATATATTTAGTCTGATACACCAAAGAATTTAAATGGGGCAAGTACCTATTGATAATTACTAAACATTTGAAACCTATTTAAACTATTTAACAGCTGAGCGGATAATTATTTATGCGATCAGTGGAGATTTAAGTTGAGTTGGGTTTTTTTAAGTACAAAGTTTAGCCTTAGCCAAATTTAATATAGGCCTACATTAGATCTAGTAAAATAAAATAATTAAAATAAAGTTTCTTCTGTTTTATATCTGTCATAATACTACATCCTTGTGATGACTCTGTTGAACTTGTAAACATTTCCCCACCGCTAAGCAGTTCGCCAGGAAGTAAATTTAAATATAGGTGCTATATCAGTTGTATTTGTGTCTGTATTGTAATTTTTTTTAAATTAATTACACAATTCAAACTTTATATATAATGTAACTATTTGTGTTGAGTTATGCATAATATTTTCTTATTTAATTATCCGCAAATACATTCTACGGTAGATTTCAATCTAACACCTCTCTTTAAGCTTTACTTATAATAATATATAATATAAAATAACTTGCCTGGATGATTACGAACGTCAAAGATATTGCTTAACGCTTCATAATGAGTTGAAAGTGTATCAAGTCCTTCCGTGGCTAGAAACATGCGAACAAAGTACCTTCCTTGCGACACACAATAATATGGATTAAAAGCAAAATAGTATGGAATGCCTTTCTTGCAGGAGCACAGAAACCGTATTGCTGCTTCATCGCACGATTCCTTCTCGGTATCGACCGTCCAGAGCGGGCAAGCCTGAAACAGGTTTGTGTGTTAAATTATTAATACTAACACCTTTTCACATGTACTAAAAAAGTCAAATACTCAATTTATGATTGCAAATTTCTTGCGAGGTTAATATTAGTTTAGGTAAAGGGTCTATAGTGTAGAAATGGGGTGAAAGACCATGCCTAAACTAAATCTTCAAAAGCTTTTATTTAACATGATTCCTCGTGTTTGATTGTTCATGGATGTAAAAATTCGAGCAAAGCTGCATGTTATGATGTATGTTTCAGTAGATATTAACTTGAGTGCAGGTTGGTGCGAAGAGTATGTTGAACACATTGGTATGATGACACGATTGAAAGTTAGTGACGTATTTGTGTAGAGACTTGGTTGCTTTGTGTTTGTGTGTGAGTTAGTCTAATCTTGATCGTCGGTGTTAAAGGACGTGCATTGGCCGGTATGATTCAAGTTGGGAGGTAGACTCTCTCTCTCTCTCTCTCTCTCTATATATATATATATATATATATATATATATATATACAAGAATAAAGTGTAGGACAATGTGTTATTGAGTTTACCTTAGGGGTCATCCATAAATGACGTCACACTCGTAGGGGGGAGGGGGGGTCCGTAATTTTGTGACGATGTGTGATGAGGGGGAGGGGGGGGGGGGGGGTCAGATGTTGCGACGTCACATTTTTGCATTATAAAAAAGCAATGTTAGAAAACGAATTTTAGACGTTATTTCGCGTTTTAGAAAACTGTTTTAATAAATTGTAATAGTTTAGACAAGATTTTGGAAAAATATCGCTGTTTAAAAAAAATTCAACTGCAATTTTTAGGGGGATTGTAGGTTGAGGTGTGACGTCATTTTAGGGGGGGGGTCTGGCTTTTTGTGACGACGTGTGACGGAGGGGAGGGGGGGAGGTAAAAATCGTCAAAAAAAGCGTGACGTCATTTATGGATGACCCCATTATCTCATATATTCGTCTGAACGTGAGATAGCCTTATTGGTTCTTAAGGTTGGAGCCTCTCTACATGGTAGTGGAGATGAATTTTGTGTGATGATTTTGGAGTAAGTTGGTGTCGTGTTGCATGTCGATTGGGGTATGCGTGATGTGGCAAGGAGACTGTTGTGTGGGATGATGTTGGTTTTTGTTCGGAGTGTGGCTTATGTGTAATAAGTGTTGGGTATGCACAGGTGTGGTTTGGGGAGTGGGGCGGGCGGGTTTGGGTTTAGTCTGCTCCGTGTGTTATGAGGTGTATGTTTGTGGTGCTGTAGGCTGTTCTGTATTGAATGGTGTGTATGGTGTGGCATAAGTGATTGGTGTGGATCATCTGATTAGTGGTTAGTGGTGTGGGCTGTGCTATGTGCTATGTGTGGTATTGGAATGTGGGTAATTTATGTGTGTTTCATTGTATGATGTATAAGGGTTGTTTGCGGTGTGGTATGGGTGATGTTAAAAATAATAGTATGGTGTCATTCGGGGGTGTTGTGACGTGGGGAACTAGTTCGTTGTGTCGTGCTGGCTGAAGTGGTGTGCCTTAGGGTGTGACGCATGTGGTGTTGGATGTGATATACTCTGTGTGTTGTGTGAGGTATGTGTGAGGGTTTGTTTGTGGGGTTAGTTAGAAGAGCTTTGGGTTATGCTTTGTGGTGTAAAAGGGACGTTTCGTCTTTACCGGTAGGGGTTGGTGTGTGGAACAGGTCATGAGGGGTTAAGTTTGGGTTGTGGTTGCTTTTTTAATTATACATTTTGTTATGTTCTCGACTTAAATCTTTTTAGCATCTCATTGTTGTTAAATTAAACATTTATTACAAGAGAATTACAAAAGAACAGTTGTTGTATGTTTAGTGCCATTCGTTTCTATCCTCCAAAAAGCACCGTGCAGTGTTTCACACCTTGGCAACGCACGGGTAAGCACCTCGTACACTATTTTATTTATCAAATCAACTACAACCAAAAAACGTATTCATAGAAAATATATAATCATTTAATGTAGCAGCCGTTTTAAGAACTATTAACACATTTTACCTCATAAAATATGACATTTAACTAAGTTTCAGAATTCGCTATCAAGAAAATTATACAACTTACCGTGCTATAGTCTGAAACATTTTGACATTGTTCAATAAAACCATTCTTGCAGCATCGGGGTTCAATGCGGACAGTGGGTTCAAACTTGACTTCAGGGGGCAGACGCTTGTAAGGATGCCAAAAATATCCATATATTCGCCCGGTGTAGCGGCAATAATAATTGATACAGTCTCTTTCCTGCCCTAATATAATTGCTCCAAACGAATTGTTTTTGCATTGGACGTCTGTAGAAGTATTAAACAACAGCTTAAGACAGCAAGCTCGATTAAGCTGTTATTGAGCGTGGGGGAAATCTCGAGGGTTAGAAAGCGGTTGACACATTCGGAAACAGTCGAGTCGGACTTGGAGCGCAGATTAGCAAGAACATAATTGAGATAGTAGAAATAAGTATAGGACAATACTTTGGATCAGGAGTTATTTAATATGTGTATATGATAAATAATTCTTAAAATTATTTGAAACAGTTATTGGGTTGTTGTGTTTTAATCTGAGCCAATCCTACTGGACTTAAGAAAGCGAAGTGAAAAAAAAACGATCCCCGTAAACGAATAAGACAGAGTTCTATTTCTATTACTGAAAATTAAAATAAAACATTTTCGTAGGTAGATGGCACTTCAAGGGTACTAAGTTAATTTTTATTAATTGTTTTTAATACTTACATTTTTTAAAGAATAGAATCGTGCAGAAAAAAGAATTGTACAACAAATAAACACAAATAGTGTGAGTATAATACAGCGGAAAATAAGTACATTCTAAAGGAAACGTTGATTACTTATTTTGAGAAATCTCAAATAGTGTACGTTATACCTTCCAGTCACAGGAAATCATTAAAATTCGACAGCGAATACGATATAATGTAATTATATATAAAATTATCCGTTTAGTTAAAGTACTCAGCTATTTGGTGTTTTAATATACAATTAGAAACTAGAAAGAAAGAAAGAAAGATTTTTTTTTACTTTCTCGTATATACGAAGTGTAGAGAAAGTCTTGTAATCGTGCAAAATTTTTTCGAGATTTGCGCTCCCTGAGTCAGAAAAACATAGTTTTGCAATGTTGTCCGTATGGCTGTGTTTGTGTATGTGTGTGTGTGTGTGTGTCTGTAAACATGATAACTTGAGTACCGCTACAGCTAGGTTGATGAAATTTCATATATAAGTATTATATCAAAATCGTGAAACGTTTTCTACTTTCAATTTTTTAAAAGCCTATAACTTGAGTACTATTACAGATAGATAAATGAAATTTCACATGCAAGTTCTCCGCCATCTTTCAAATTTTGAGTAGTTGCCGTTGACCGGAAAAAGTAGTTTTTGTTATTTCCAATTTCTCAAAAAAAAAAAAACGCATGGGAATTTATAAAGTAGTAATAATATTCCGCACTATTATACACATATTATTTAGCGTTCACGTTGTGTGCAATTATTTTTTCTACGACATTCTACTCTTTTTTTTAAAAGTTGCCATCCCCTGTTGTTGTATATAAGAATATTCGAGAAAGTTTAGGGGAGATCACTCCCGGTTTATTTCTACATGATTATATTCTACGTAAAGTGCATATGTGAGCAGAAAATTAATTCTTTATTAGGAGGTATTTTGCTCTATAACCGATTCCAAAATCTTAAGAATTTTATAATTGTTATAATGTTCTTATAAAACATTGTTCGAAATTTTGAAGATTGTATATTGTCACTTCCTTCTATATTTCTTAACCGTACTTCACAATTAAACTAGAAGCGACTTCCAAAATCTTATTGTTTTATAACAGAATACAAGAAAGCTGAGGAGATAAAATTCCCGCTTTCAAATCAAGGTTTCACTGGGACTTCACTGAGACCACCCAGCTCTAATAAGTACCTACTTTACTTTTTTTTAAATATGGCGGCTTGGCATAGTGCTGGCCACAATATCCCTTCTAATGACGAGGTCAAAGAAGCAGGTGAACTCTACTTCACTTGCCTTATTGGCCGTTAAAATCGAAAACAGGACTTTGCTTTTTTGTTAAAATTCTCGCTTCATTTAATACTTAATTTAATCCTTGAAACCCATTTTGTAATTGATGACGTTTTTTTTTTTGGGGATTAATGAGCTATCATTTAGACCGAAAAATTTAGATTTATTTTGATTTATAACCTTTGATTTAAAATTACATGTAAAATGCTACACTTAATATAATACAATATTGACAAGAACAAAATTGAAATGGTTTACAAATAGGAAACAAACTCAAAGACGGAACAGTTTACCATGTAGGAATAGTCAACAGACGGAACAACTTACCAGACAAAAATAATAAGCAAGCCAACAGCTGTAGCAGAATCCTTTTGCCCATATTTATGTGTTCAGCAACTGTGACGAAACTAATCACGTGAAAAAGCCAATTAAATTATATTACATTTGACGTGTAAACTTTTAGAGTGAGAGTTAATTTGTTGCTGCACCGTGATGTCAAACAACGAGATAACTTAACACACTACACACACTTCTATTGCAGACGTGTCAAAATAATTTCGTTCGTTTCATTATTAGTTACACTTGGTATAACTCGAAACGACTAAAATCTAACCCTAATCTAACTCCAATAAAATATTTTCAGACATCCTAGCCGTTAAACCTAAGTTCAATTTTATGCTGTTTTTAAAACCTAACAATAAATTATGGTCTTAGTAAGAATTAAACATATATCTGTCTGGTCGTAAATTTTGATTCAAAGTAATGTAAGATCTACAGTGCATAAACTATTAGTTTTCGTCGGTTTAATTTTATATTTTAAACTAATTGTAATTTTACATCAAGTATTATGAAATCTACTACGTGATTCCTGGGAAAAAATTTTTTTTTTAATTTACAATAACAAAATCTAAAACAAATATAAAAACACCTGCAAAGTACTTCTATTACTTATCGGAGAACAATAGATAACATTGGCAATACAAAAATTGATCTGGCTACAGTTGCAGAATGTTAGCCCATCAAAGCCAAACCCTAGAGTTTTAACAGACTAAATAGTGTAAGCATAACCTAGGCGCCAAAGTGTTCTCGAAGGGGCTTCAATACTTAACCACCGGGGCACCGGAGGATGCGCGTAGTGCAGCTATACCGCTAAAGGAAGTAGCAGCTCTGATCCCTTCAGACGACGCCCAATAAACGGGTACCAAATGCTAAGATACCCGCTCGGAAACCCTGGACGCCAAGCCGCATCTGACTTTTATTTTTATACATCGTATACAGAGAAACATAATTGCATCCTGTAGGGGCACCGGTCCTTAAACATTTACATTAATTTTCGCAGAAACTTTGCCAGGAATGTTTTTAGTAGCTAGATCTAGTTAGATAGTAGTCAGGTTACCTGGTGTACGCTGATGTCTTTTGATAAATGCCTTTAAAAGGCACCGCTTCACAGTTTACCACAAGAAATCTAACCAATGCATCTTAGTTTACATTTGTTGACGTTAAAACAAGCAGCTTTACGTTCAAAGAAAGAACGATCTTTCTTGTCGATAGCAAAATTATCACATTTGATTTCAGCAAATCAATTAGTCATTTAATAGTAGTTTGTGTACCATTGGGAATCCCCACGAAAAATTTGGCGCGCATCTCGAAAACATTAAGTGTGTTATAAGGCGGGTTCGTTTATTTATTATTTTCAACACTAAATGGATCCATAACCTCGTGGACGACTGGATAATTGCGATTTAGAAATAACTGGTTTCCAGGGAGGAGGCATTACCTATACAGCTTGGAGTCAGTTGTGAGGCAAAAGCAGTGTATCTCCCCCCCCCCCAACTCCCGTAGACCCCCCCCCCCCTCGCCTGAACGAAATAGAATTTATATAGAAAATATATCATTTTGACAGTGTCCGCACCCCTCCTCCCCCCCCCCCCTTGAAATTTTAGTCCGAGAAAAAGTCCGGAAGAAACACTTGGCAAGAGCTGCCGAAAGGTTACTAGAGTTGGTAAAATAATTCAAACGTTATTTAAAAAGAAAAATGTTATTTTTACATGACTGAACGTAAATGTTCCGTGGCTCATTTGGGTCTTTCTATGTGAATTGTCAAGGTTTGAGTAATATGTGAAGTTCCAGGGTTGAGTTCTGTAATAGATTGAAATAATTGTGAGGTCAAGGGAACTCACTCTTCTGTATTAGTTATATTTATAATATTGTTATCTTGAGTGATGTCCCTTGGGTACTTCCTTCCGGTCCTCTCTGGTGTTACCATCATGAAGTAATTAGACCCAATTAAATGTGTTATATACAACCACAGGCTTCTGTCGTCAATCTATTATAAGTTCTTTTACTAAGCTGCTGGCTTAAGGATTCAATTTATGTTGTAGGTTTTAAGTTATCGTCCAAAAGTAGGAAGTTGGACTAGTGCAATGGAGTAACTAGGTGGGGTGCCACCCGGTGCAGTAACTGAGGGTATTACCCCACCCTCCTCCAACTAATTATCATTTTCAGTTTAGTGTCATTCTCTTCCCCTACAATTTTGTTTTTAGCGGGATAAAGCATTGTTTTACGATTTTTTGTAGTGGGTCACACCTAAAATGATGTAACTTGGTGTGGACCGCACCCTTCATACCTGTCTTGTAACGCTACTGGTCTATTTTATTGATTTATTTTAGCAGTTTCGTTACCTTTTAGTAATATTTTAATGGATCCTATTCAAAAGGTTACACAACCCCCACCCAGCCCCCTTAGTCCACCCACCCCCCACTATGAGACCGTGGTAAGGTAATATAACTGTTTCGCTAGCTGAGCTATGGGCTAGATAAAAATAAACAAACGTAAAAGCCTTCTAATATACAATCTTTAAAACATCTAGCATTCACGTTAGCTACAATAATAAAAATAAAGCAGGGGTGATTTCCCCCCCCCCTAATTTTTCATGAATCTATAGTGGTCAGACGATAGCTAGGCACTTGTCGGTGCCGCAGGCGCATCAAATTTGGCAATGACTTATTGCAATAGTGGCGATAAAAGTGAAGTGACAATAAAATATCATTGCAGTAAGGGCAATTAAACATCATTGTAATAAGGGCGATAATATATCAGTACAATAGGGGCAATAAAACATAATTACAGTAAGGGCGATAATATATCAGAACAATAGGGGCAATAAAACATAATTGCTGTAGGTGTTGAGTTCATCTGTCTCTTATAATAATGCCGGACAACGTATAGCACAACACAACAGATTTGACAAAACTAATGCAACCCGTCCTCTCGCTGTACACACACCCTAGCACACGCTCTGTCACCTGTCAACTGACAATTCTCACGTAAACACTTATCATTCTATGGAAACACAAATACAACGATAAACAAAAAGAGGGTTCCCATCGTTCAAGCACACAACACACACACAATCAAGGGAAACTATATGTCATTGACGTAACAGTAGGGAGAATAAAACATTATTACAGTAGTGGGAATACAAATTGTAAGAAAATTAAAAAAGAATATGTAGCGAACTCCCCCCCCCCTCCCCTTCCCCCCACACCTCTCATCCGGGATGTGACCGACGGTGGGCGTTGTGCCATAATAACGAGCTTACTAACAACCGCTGGGGCAACGACCAAATATACATATCACGTGCTTGGCCTAGTGGAAAGGTTAAAAACATTCATGTTTACCAGACACACGTTGTTGAAAGCCGATCCCTGAAATAGCCAGTTTCGGTTTCGCCAAGAAAAAAACAGAGCCACTGTGTTAAGTAGGTTGTTTGATACACATAAAAGACAACGTTTTAATGGACAAAAATAAACAACAACACATAAGCGCAAAGATTAAATAGAATTTGAAAAGACCAATAGATTCCTAATGAATCGACAAGAATAAAAATTGGCAAAAGAAATCCATAAGGATTCAACATGACTTTCGATTCTGTTAACTATTACCGTCTTATTCTAAAGTGTACACTGTCCTATCAGCTCTAAAAATAACTTCAGCCTTCACCTCAATAGGCATCTCTTAGACCCAAGTACGTCTACCATCGACGCCCCTGAACGAAATATAATGTATATTGAAAATGAAAATATAGACTTTTACCACTCTTCGAGTCGTCTAGAAATGTAGTCCCCATAACACCAAGGATAGTCTCCATAACACCAAGGATAGTCCCCCCCCCTAATGAGCTATTATCCTATGAGTAGTGTGAGCTACTTTCATTACAGCAGGCATGTAGGCTGTTCGCACTTTTAGACGCCAGAAGTAGGCATGTCTGGTCAAGTATTAGTCTAATTTCTTAACTCTGATTGTGTATAATTGAGTAATGCAGCCCAGAACTAACTTTTTTATATTTTTATTCTACCTCATTTGGCGCCCCACCCGCCCTCCCCTAGCTGCGCCTCTGACAGACAGACAGATCAAAATTCTGTTGTAACAAAAATCGCCTTATTTAGTCTCTATTGAGCTTTTAAAAATTCAAGAAACTAACCAAACTTTGGTGAATTACGTCAGAAAGTGGCGAGCCCGATGTGCTGTTTCTATGACGTAGCTACCACGGCCGTGCTGACGATGCTGGTTTTCAAAGCCAAAACTCAACGTCTACCGTTTGTCGACACTTCCTAGTCAGGTGATTTTGAGCTCGAGTCCAATCATTAGTACCAACCCAATCAATAGGCCAGCAGCATGTGTTGTGTGAGCCAGTGTGTATTGTGTGAATATTCTCGACAGCCTGGGATAACAACATTTCTTAACTGTGTCAGGTAGCTGGAGACGTATTAACTAACTTAATAAAACAAATTTCAGTGTTCATTTTTCAAAGTCCTTGTTTGTTGAAGTAAGACCGGTTTAGCAATAGGATTACAGCAAATGGCTGATAACGGCGATAGACTTTCGGTTTTAGTTAGGTATGACAAACTTCAATGTTTCAAATTTTTGCAAAGGGCCAGCTGGTCTATTCGCCAGCAAAAGATACGCGTTAAAATCGGAACTAGGGTCTAGGCTGTATAGTTTCATCGCCAGCATTGACCATGATCTGAATTGATCTTGCCCTCATCATAAGCATGATGCCTTGTCCAATAAATCCAATAAATAGGCAGTGTTGTATTTGATAATATCCGCTGTACCACTACGAATACTAGCTTCTTACGTGTAATCTATTGAAACTATCAATTTAGGTTTTGTTTCTTTGTTAGTTATTACTTTTTTTTTAGTGTTGAGAAGCTATGACATTTAAAAAAAATATAATACATATTTTAACAATAATTATAATAATAGCAATATAAAAATATTAACTATAGTTCTGTGACAACAAATGTAATACACCCCCCCCCTCCCCACCAAAAAAGCAACCCAATTCAATAAGCAACAGATAAAAAGGAAGGTGAATTTATAATTTTGCTCGACGAATTCAGTGATAGAACATATTTTAACACAAAACGGCAGTACCCCCCCCTCCACAGAAAGAGGTAGGGGGAGTTGTCGGCGGTGATGTTGTAGGTGTGAGAGGTTTCACCAACATGCCCGGGGCAGGGCCTAACAAGCGACTGGCAACAACTGACGGTGCTAAGATAACGGAGCCATCCCACAGTATAACCAAACAGTATTAACGAGAATGAAATTCGCAATCAAGTTTCTCATAAACAAGATAGTTAGCTTCAACAAAATTTAATCTATTCCAATTTTAAGTCCAATAACTTTTTATTGCTAACATTTTCCCATTTACTCGACAGTTTCGTTTTCAGCGTATCAACCATCAAAAGTGAAAACAAGGGGAGGGAACTTGAAATATCAATCGGTTGATCTAACAGGCGCGATGGGAAGCAAGGGAGACAAACGTCTGGGCCCAGACAGAAAGGGCAAAGAGGAAATAACTCTCGATAAAGGCAGCACCTAGGTAGGGTCTACACCGTTAAAAACTTTCATTCCAGTCCTCGAGAAATTTTCTCAACCATTATTCAATGCAAAGGTTGTTGATGAGATACAGCCTCTGTCAACACACACACAAACAGCGAGTGTCCTACAGGACACAATTATTCCATACGACAGTGTCCCACAGAACACATTTGTCCCATACGATACAGAGTGCCATGCACGAGACGCCAAGTGAACCCAACTACCAACATGTCCCGCATGAAGAGGTAACCAGCTTTCTTTAAAAGTTTATTTAGTTTGTCTATTCACGTCATGTCTGTTCACGTGATACAATTCTATTTTTATAGTTAAACATGGGGTAGAATAAAGACGGGGACGGCGTAATTTAGAAGTAGGGGAAATTCTAAGTGACCCCAGACTCTTGACCAGTACCCAATCAAACTTTTTTTTTTGTTAAGATAGAAACGTGTAGAACCACGTTCAATGTTTCTTAAAGACTTTTTTCTGGGGGAGGGGGGGGGGGCACTTTAAATTTCCGGGGGGAGGGGGGCCGGACATTATTAAAAGTATATATTTTCTATATATTCAGCTCCCCCCCCCCCCCCACGTTCTTAATTTAGAGCTTACTATAATGAGTGTAAAATTTTCCGAACGCTTTCTTCTAGCCTTTACGTAAAGCTGATCAGT